TGCAGACCGCTGAAATTTCCTAAAAACCCAGTTTTTCTTCAAAAAACTCCAACGCCATTTAGTGGCTTAAATCTAGAAGGTGTAATTAGAATCTTGATCTGTTCCTTTTACAGCCTGGAGGGCACTGAATAGCGTCAAAAAGCTGGAATAATCGGACAGTTGCTGGCAGCAAAAATTACCTAGGACGAATCGTTTGACAAAAATTAAAAAAAAACCTTGGTCCTCTTAATATGGTAGCCGCTAGACCATCACAAAGTAATAAATAACAACCTGCAAAAATTTAATTTTGCGTTGAATGAACACTCCCATTTTACATATTAAAACAATTTTCTGTGGAAATTTGACAATTTAATGTTGAAAAGCTGAGCAAGAAAATTAAAATTTGCAAATCTGAGCAAACTATTTAATGTGTGGTGTCACTAACAGCAGAAAAAGGCAATAATTGATCCAAAGTACCTTGGCAATAGAAAGTCATTCACAGAAGAACTACTCTTATTGTACATTTAGACTGTAAAACTTCATGTAAAAAGTCTACGATAGAAAACATCTAGTTAATGTATAAAATCTAACTTTTATTTAGTATTGCAAAAATAAAATGAAAATAAAAAAAAACCCAACACAGAGTTCAGAAACTCCCTTGTCGTTACTTACAACAATAACTTACCGAAAGCTGAATGGTGACACCTGGAAAGAAAGAAGGAAATGTGTTTAGTACAGCAGAAAATCTACCCAAAGCCAATTAGTTTGATATCACCAAAGCAAAAAAGGAAAAATATAAAGAATTCATAAAAATCATCTGATTTTCGGAAAAATACATTCAGTTTCAGTTTTTCAGCTAAAGAATTTAAAGATTAATGATCATTCTTACCAGCTTTCTGCAAGCTGGCGCCCCATCCCCTTCTACCCATTAACGCACAAAAAGTTCACACTACAGATCAAAAATACTCTTCGAATAAAAAACTTAAATCCTGCAGTTAACAGTAGGTAAGATAAACTACCGCACTTAAGGGCCGCAATGATCGTATATTTACCATCAAGAACGCGATTTACACGACACAAAGGACCGGCGAGCGAGTTTGTCTATTGCCTGTTATAAACTGAATATTCAGATAGTTTTTAGAAACACCTGAAGTGGCAAAAAGCCTGAAAAGGCACCGTCCTACAGAATCAACATGATGATATAATCATTTGCTTGCTCAATGCTCGCCCTTTGGATTGCTTTACTTTGCAAGGTGAATAAGCATCGCAAATTTTCTGAATTAACGGCTAAATGCAATTTCCCAAAATGTCAGGCTTATGAAAGTACTCAATATTTTTTTACATTATTTTAGGTAATTCATTAAAGCGTCGAGTAATGGCATAATTTTTAGATCATTACGCTCAAATGTAATCTAAAAAAACTACAGCTAATATTGCAATGAATGCAAGGTAAATAAAATATCAGCATAAATGCGAGCGTAAAAATGCCATGCCGAAAGTTCTTATTTACATTCTTATCGCTATTTGTATTCAGAAATTAAAATGAGGCATAAATCTGGAAACAGTCAATTATGAAGCTTGAAAAGTACTCGTAGTAGTAAAATGTAATTCAAGGAACATTTTCAGACAGTAAGATGTATTTGGTTTTTATTTGAGCAATCAGTTTGTCCTTAGTATTTACTGAATGCATAAAATATTTTGAGTAGATCTCACCTAATTCTATAATAATAAATAATTCTAATCTAGATTGGCTTACACTAATCTTATAAACGAACGAGTCATTGGTTCTGACTTATTTTTAGCGGTTGATTTATTAATGAGATGATCGGCTCTGAAGGTGACGATGGCGAGTTGATAAATACCAACTTTCTTCTGCCGGAAATCCAAAAGGCTTCCTCATTCTTTCCCGAAACTAACACGTATTTTTAGCGGATGTTGAAAACCTTAGACTTTAGCTCATATTTTGAGAACCACTTGAGCCGCAAAGCTTCAGTTGTCATTTCTGGATAGGGCGTTAAAATACCCACGTTTTTATGCAAAACATTAATTTAGAAATGAAAAGGATTTTTCGCGGTTTAAGCGGACAAATAATATTTGGAAATATGAAAAATTGATTTCAGCAGTACTCGAACTTGCATGCCGAAAGTAGTGAATTTTCTTATTTCCAAAAATTATTTGTCCGCTTAAGCCGCGAAAAATCCTTTTCATTTAGAAAAGGCAAAAATTGAAAATTAACGCAATCTTGATAACCGTCCTTAGCCTTTCGCTCATATTTTGAGAACAGGTTGAGCTGTCAAAATGAAGGTGTTATTTCCGGATAGAGCATTCAGACACACACGTTTTTATATCAACTATCAATTTTTAAATGTTTCTAGTTTTCCCGCAAAATGCGAAAATGTAAAATTATGGCAGATCTTGAGAACCGTTCTTAGCGTTTCACTCATATTTTAAGAAAATCTAGAGCTGTGAAACTCTCATTTCCGGATAGAGCACTAACATACGCACGTTTTTGTATAAAACATTAATTTATAAAATTTTCTAGTTTTTCCGCAAACTGCGCAAATATAAAATTAAAGCAGATCTTGCGAACTGCTCTTAGGTTTTTGCTCATATTTTAAGAACACATTGAGCTGTCAAGTTCCAGTTGTCATTGCTGGATAGAGCACTAAGATACGCACATTTTTGAATAAAACATTAATTTAGAAATGTTTCTAGTTTTCCCGCAAAATGCGAAAATATAAAATTATGGCAGATCTTGAGAACCGTTCTTAGCGTTTCACTCATATTTTAAGAAAATGTAGAGCTGTCAAACTCTGATTTTCGGATAGAGCACTAAAATACGCACGTTTTTGTATAAAACATTAATTTATAAATGTTTCTAGTTTTCCCGCAAACTGCGCAAATATTAAATTAAAGCAGATCTTGCGAACTGCTTTTAGCTTTTCGCTCATATTTTAAGAACGTATTGAGCTGTCACGTTCCAGTTGTCATTGCCGGATAGAGCACTAAAATACGCACATTTTTGTATACTACATTAATTTAGAAATTTTTCTAGTTTTCCCGCAAAATGCAAAAATTTAGAATTAACGCGGATCTTGAGAACCGGCTGTATCCGCCTTTGCCGTTGTTATCAGTTACCCCTTGGTTAAATTCAAGTCAATTTTAAAAGTTTATGACCAAAGAAGCGTGTGCAGAATAGAAGCGTTTTCTACCTGCGGGTGGTATGCGATCGTTTTACTGTTCTTCACCAGATGTTCAGCTGCCACGCAAAAGGAAATTTATAAGACAAACAAAGAGGAAACCACCCTTGGAAGTACGGCAAACTACAGGGAAATAGAGGGAAGTATTCCCGGTTTAGATAGAGAAAAGTTCCACTTTATTTAACGGTTTATTATACACTCATACATAAACATACATAAAGTAAAAGGTTTGAGATGAACAGTTGGATGGTTTTTTGATGATTGTATAGACCAAATGTATGAAACACTGGGATTCGGTTGTTGACAAGGGGAATATTTGTACTCTCAAAAGAGCAGAAAAAAAGATTTATTCCGAAATTGTTGCAAAGAAAAATTGCGACAATTAAAAATATTACAATCCTTTTATATTTGCTGCATGTTAAAATATTCTTCGAGTTGGCAAAGTTCGGGGCTAATAAAAGCAATTTTATTTCCTTTTTAAGCAAACTTTGGCTTGAAATTTGTCCAATTTTTGTTGGTAATTTATGATACAATTTTATACACATTTAGTGCGCATTTTTTTCGGTTTGCAAACTTTTGCTGAGCTGATTTTGTTTTGTATTTATTTACATATTCAGGTTGATATAGAGTTTTTATTATTGTGGAAAAATATTAGGCACTCCCTCCTATAACGGAAATAATGTCATTCATTTCAGTGATTTGATATAATTTCTGCATGTTTCCCGAAAATCCATTTTTTTAGTTATCCAGTTTTTGTGAAAATCCATTTTTTTAAAGATTTTCACAGCTTTTCTTTAGATTAGTTATGGTCCAAGAGTAAAATGAAAGCTTGTTTAATATCCAAAAACATCGTTGAAGTGAAAAAAAGTTTTAAGGTAAGCTCTGATGTTGATAAAGAATCTGAAGTTTCGTTATATTAATTTTTCTAGTTGGAGTTGGTAAAAGCGGAAAAACCGACTTATTTGTTAATTTAAACATCTAGTATGTACATTTAAAGTGCAAAAAAGCTTGCATTGCACATTTAAAGTGCTTAATCTTCGTTTAAGTTTATATTCCTCTTTAATTGTTTATATTATTTCTCCTTGGAAAAATTACCTACCTAATTTTGCCCTCAAAAGAAAATCTGCATCCTTAGCGCGGGTGGTTTTCCCTCGAGATCAGATGAGCAGACAAATCACCAAAATGCACATTTATGTTTCATTATCTGGTCCAGAATCGGTCTTTTGCAAAAATCTCCAGGGGATTTTAGATGACAATTATTGCAGTTATCAATTGGTAACTAACTTCAAAATGAGTTGTTATCTAGGCCCAGAAATCCGAGCGCCCTGAAGATTAGTTTCCCGTTTGAGTTGAGCATCGTTGTCAGAGATTAACTCCACATAGTACCTTGGAAACTTTTATGAGAACCGTTATTTATTTTCACCTACTGCCTCCTAATTAGAATGGTAAACATTGGTTCTGCTCGCGTTCCTCCAGCTTAGACTAGAAAAAGGTGAATGCCATCACGAGGTACTTCCCCGTCACTTTAATATTTATCAAGTGCATGTTGTGGTCAACTATCTAAAAGCCAACAAAATATTTTGAAATTTGCAAAATTGCTAAAAGTCTGCGACTCAAAAGGAACATATGTGCTTTTTTTAGAATCATGACCTGAATGAAAACGCGTTGCAATCAAGGATGAAGACAAAAGTCCCATTGTTTACATGCAGTTAGTTAACCGGGAATAAGTCATCATTGACCCCAGATCCGATTCGAACTCGTGGAAGCATAACACTTGAGAAGATAGTGAGTGTTCGAGGAACCTCAAACATTGCGAACTTCTTTCTTATTGCATGCCAACAGCACTTCGGCAACTTTGCAGCTGCTTGCCCTTAGAAAGCTACCCTTCTGCTAAAAGCCGCCGAAAGAACATTTGTGCACTAGGGATGACACAAACTAGTATTTTTCAGCACAGGTTCCATGTGTGACTGGTCCAAGGTCGTACCTGTTCCAAGTATCTGTGATTTTTTGTCACATGTTATTTTGGCCCACGATAAATATTGGTTTGTACCTGAAACCGGGCTGAAGCGTATT